TTGACTGAAATATAAACATCTTGTTTTCTTAAATTCTTCACGGTACTATAAATAACATTTAAGATTGTATTTTCCCCAAAGGACTCCTAGGTGAAAATTTAACAGAATGCCTACAGTTTTTGGAACATAGGGAACAGACTTAGAAAAGATGTGGAAGGAGGTTGGGAAAACAGGACCAAAAAAAAATCACAATACTCAAGAATAAATGTGCCATAATTGCAATAAGACAAAAACTAGGCCAACACTTCTGCAAGGAAAAAAAAATCATGATAAGGATGAATTTCACCCAGCCAGTTTTCCCTTTGCATCCAGCTGCAGCTCACGAAAACCAATGCTTTTTATAAATTTTGCTGCTCGTAAGATAAGGTACTGCAGTGATAATGTGGGGAATGACCTGGGAAACAGAAGGAAGAACTTCAGCCAGGGGAATGGTTGGATAAGAGGCAGCTGAGCCTACAGAAAGGCAGTCAAATATCTCAGAAGGAATCCTCCTGTTGTAATGACAAGGCAGTCGAGTTGTTTGATCATGATCAACTGAATCATGATGAACTTTATTGGAGTCTAGTCTTGCATTTATACACATTTTTAATTATCCCCCATCATTGGTTAACTCTGGTTACTGCTTAACTTTCGTTACTGTTTAGTATAGTAATTAACACAATTAATTATCTCTAGTTAAAGTCTAACATATGTTTACTTCCTCTCTCTAAGCCTCCTTTAGATTAGTGACTTTGTTTGCCTGAGTTGTATTTGCTTGGAAACATTCTTTATCTGAGGTTTGCCATCTGAGATTGGAACATTCCTGCAATTACAACTCTACATCCTCCCTACTTTTTTAGGCTGTAAAGGTGAGTGGGGAACTTTCGGGGACTTTCAGATTTGCAAGAACCTATTTAGAGCAATAGCACCTAGACTTCTATACCGCTTCACGGTGCTTTTACAGCCCTCTCTATTGTAAGCAGTTTGCAGAGCCAGCCTCTTGCCCCCCAACAACCTGGGTCCTCATTTTACCAACCTCAGAAGGATGGAAGGCTGAGTCAACCTTCAGCCAGTCAGGATCGAACTGCTGGTAGTCGGCAGAATTAGCCTGCAGTAGTGCATTCTAACTACTGCGTACCATGGATGGATGGATGGAAGGAAGGAAGGATGGAAGGAAGAAAGGAAGGAGAAAAAGAAGAGCAATAGCACTTAGACTTCTATACCGCTTCATAGTGCTTTACATCCCTCTCTAAGCGGTTTACAGAGTCAGTCACTTGCCCCCAACAATCTGGCTCCTCATTTTACCAATCTTGGAAGAATGGAAGGTGGAATCAACCTTAAGCCAGTCAGGATTGAACTCCAGGCTGTGGGCAGAATCAGCCTGCAATACCACATTCCAGCCACCATGCCACCAGAGCTAACCTTGCAATAAAGCTAGAGCTAGTCCTTCTGGATGTGCTTCTTGCCCTGGATGACATCGCAAGACTGACCTCAATCTTGCAAGCCTGGAAGCACATTTCTCCCCTTAAGCTGTCTTTTATTCACCTATTCCCCTGGCTGCAGCTCTTCAAGGGCCTTCCCCACAAACTCTTACAAGCAGACGGGCGATGATCTTAAGATTATCAGGCTGCAAACTCACCAAACTCCCTTTAAACAGAAATAGCCCTGGACCTTTCAGGAACATGGGAGATTGGACTGTGTTATTCTGGTTGGATTCTGCTTATTCTGTATTTATATATATATAAAAGCGAAATGCCACTCACGTATCATCACAAAATCTCCAGAACCGTAAAACCTACAAACTTACATTTGCCACATATGTTTCTCTTGGCTTCTAGGTGCTCACTAAGAAAGGATTTGTTGAAATGGCTATCAGAACATAAGTATTTCTTATATTATTATTATTATTATTATTAACATGTTCTGATGCTAAGGAGTTCTACTCCCCCTCCCCACCTGAAAAGAAATCTCTTCCAAATGCAAAACACAAGTTTCAGTTTTAGTTTTACTTTCACAGCACCAAGCAGCTTTAGTACAGAACAGTTGAGCTAAGCCACGCCCAGGCTCCTTGCTGTCTCCTTCTTGCTCACACAGAAATACTGCTTGTTTCCAAACAGCCCTCAACTCTCTCACACACTGACAGGACGCCAGCCAGATGAACAGCGATGGAGGCTGGTAGGCAGAGGCAAAAAAATGCTTTCCCTTATTTTCCTTCCCCCAAAACTAAGCCTGATCACGTAGTTTCGTAGCAAAGCATGGGTATCGAGCTAGTTCTGTAATATTCTTATATAAAGTCCAACTTTCACCTCTGTAGAATGTCACAGGGAACACTGTGGTTTGCACGATTCTGATCTTCATAGGTGCTAAGGCACATCACGGGCATCTGAACAATTTGAGCAAAGGTTTCCTAGATTAAATCAGCCAGACAGGAAAGTAGCCAGGGTTGAAGAAGTTGGAATTGGGTTATCTTTAGGCAGGGACTCCCTCTAGCGAGAGCAAAGCACCATGTCATTCACATCCAGTGTTTTTTCAACCTTGGCGACCTGAAGTTGCGTGGACTTCAACTCCCAGAATTCCTCATGGCTGGATAGAGGGTTCTGGGAGTTGAAGTCCACCCATCTTCAAGCAGTCGAAGGTTTGAAACAGCGCACCAGATGCTTTTGTGTCAAGGGGGGGGGGGTTTGAAATCACACAACTTTGGAAAACTCAACACAATTTGTGTGGGATTGAATTTTGACTATTCAACTTAGAACCCTACGCTTAGTGACTTTTTGCAACTGCACCAAAGTGACTTGACTTGACTTGAATTCTTGTCATTTTACGTATATACACAGTATACATACAATCAAATTCATATCACACCCTTGTGGAGTACTGTGAAGCTGTTACCATGGCAAGTCCATTGTGCTGTACAGTAGAAGCCATTTTAAGGCACACACACACCCCAAGGGGTGTTAGGGGTGTCCTACCCCCACAGTATTTGTTTCCAGAGAGTAAGTCATCTGTGTACCACATTTGGTTGAAATTGCTCGAGGCATTCCCTTATGCTGGAACTTGTGTGTGTGTGTCTGTGTGTATAAAAGTTCCAGCATAACAACCGTAAAATATAGAATCCTTTATAAAAATAAAGAGGAGAAGGAGGAGGAAGAAGAGGAGGAGGAGGAGGAGGAGGAGGAAGAAGAAGGAAGGAAGGAAGGAAGGAAGGAAGGAAGGAAGGAAGGAAGAAAGAAAGAAAGAAAGAAAGAAAGAAAGAAAGAAAGAAAGAAAGAAAGAAAGAAAGAAAGAAAGAAAGAAAGGTGCATTGAAGGGTTAGTGTACACCGATTAGTATGGGGCCCCTATGCTTGTGGGGCCCACGGGCAAGTGCCCATCAGGCCCATGCATTAAGACAGCCCTGGTCATAAGTCAAGGACTACCTATATTTGAAGAAAGGAACAAAGGATGGATTCAGCTTGGGTGTTACAGATATAATTTGTAATCCTTAAAGTTGTCATTTCTGATCATCCCTGCCGGAGCTTTGCAGTTTAATAAAGATAGATGACGGTTTAGAGATGCATTTATAGAAACTGGGCGATGATATGGAATAAAAAGATACTGGGTTTCATTTTAAGAGATTGTGGCAAGTTCTTAATGTTGATTATACTGGCTGAGGATGGAAGCGGATATTTCTTGTTTTTCTATTTTTATCTTTGCTCTTTCTTTTTCTTCTTTCCTGTTCCATTTGAGGTAGCTTCTTATTTTGAAATTGTGTCAAGTTTACTCGTATCGTTTTATCCCTTTTATTGAAAAAATAAGAGAGGAAAACTCATCAACTCCTGAATTCTACAAAAACTGTTTCCACGTGTACAGCATATATCAGCCGCTCAGTTCCGTTAAATCTTTTAACAAGTAATTGAAAAAAATAGTTTAATGTGCAGAAATGAACAGATAAAAATTGGAAATTAAAGAAAAAGAACAATCTGAATATTACATGGTATGGGATTTATTTTTCCAATGGTTAGAAAATAAAACAAATTAAAATGGATTAGATGGATATATAATAGTGATAAGATTGTAAAGATAGATACACTGGGTATTACTTACATGAAAACGTGATTATTGGTATATTGGTATATTAATAAGAAGAGTATTAATTGTAAACTGTAAGCACATGAAATTACATGTACCTAATCGACACACGGTTGAAATGGAATGGATTTATTGTATATAAAAAATAAAAAAATTATTTTAAAAAAATAAATCTTTTAACTCCTAATACCAACCAATTGAACTCTAGATTTAATGGAGTTCCCCTCCCATACCTCTTTAGAATAGAATAGAGCTGGAAGGGACATTGAAGGTCCTCTAGTCCAGCCTTCTAGTTCAAGCAGGAGAACCTATACTATTTCATATAAGCGACTGTCTCTAGACTCTTCTTAAAAACCTCCAGTGACGGAACGTCCATGATTTCTGAAGGCCAGCTGTTCCACTGGTTAATTGTCCTGTTAGGACGTTTCGCCTTAATTCTAGATTGCTTCGCTCTTTGATTAGTGATCCATTAATGATGCCACTAAGATCATGGCATCCGCCCCTCTCAATTCCTGGCAAATAGATGGGGAAGAAAGGGAGGTAGTGACAGATTTTATTTTGCTGGGCTCCAAGATCACCGCAGATGGGGACTGCAGCCAAGAAATTAAAAGACGCTTACTCCTGAGGAGGTGAGCTATAGCAAATCTAGACGGTGCATAGAGTCAAGGCTATGGTTTTCCCAGTGGCAATGCATGGCTGTGAAAGTTGGACCACAAGGAAGGCTGAGCACCAAAGAATGGAGGCCTTTGAACTCTGGGGCTGGAGAAGACTCCGGTGAGTCCCTTGGACTGCAAGGCCATCCAACCGGTCAGTCCTAGGAGAAGATCAACCCTGACTGCTCTTTAGAAGGCCAGATCCTGAAGATGAAACTCAAAGACTTTGGCACCTCATGAGAAGGAAGGAAGGACTCAGGGGAGAAGAGCCAAATGCTGGGAACGATGGAGCGCAAAAGAAGAAGAAGGGGACGGCAGAGAAGGAGGGGGCTGGATGGAGTCACAGAAGCAGCCGGCCTGAGCTTAAATAGACTCTAGAGGACAGGAAGGCCTGGAGGAACGTTGGGGCTGTGATGGCTCAGGCATGACTTTGCAACTAACAACGACCACAAGGTGGGGGGCAGATAAGGGAAGATTTCTTGTAACAGAACAATCCACTTCAATATCATTAAAACAGGAACATTTGGACAGATCCCTGTCGATCCTTTCAAAGAAGACCAAACAGGGTTTCTAGCCCTATTTGTGTCGCACAAGCTGCCATTCTGTTTGTGAGAAAACTGTGGTGCTCGGGTTGCTGTGGACTGGTGTGGTTGGTCCCAAAGTAAGCAAACATCCCTTGGGTGTGTTTGCTCAGCTCTGCCGTTTACGTGCCGAGGAGCAGGTGTTCACCCCACAATCCCAGGAGCTGGGAAGCGTTCATTTGGTTCTCTGTTTCTTCCTGGCTTGGTCTCTTTGCTCAACAACATCTCCCTGGGCTTCCTCTCGGCTCACAATCGGTAAAGAGGACAAACGCAGCTTTTGAGCCAAAGCCCAGGTCCAGAGGCATTTTTCCACCAGGTGAGCCGTCCAGGTTTCCGTGGTGCTACCTAACAAAACATAGGATACAGAATAACAAGAGTTGGAAGGGACCTGTGATGACCCGAAGGGTTGTGGCACAAAGGCAACACCGATAATCAGTAGGAGTCCCTTTATTTGCTCCAACTTTGCCCCACATGTCCTGGTTACCTTCTGGGCTGGAGAAAAACTCTCCCAGGAACAGCCTTTAGCTGCAGAGAATCAAATCCAAAATATGGTCAACACAAACTGTAACTATAAGTCCAATCAAGGCAAGATGAGGTAATTAGTCCAGCAGGGCAGGAGCAAGAATTCCAGACGTGAAGGAATGGCAGTAATTCAACACGGTTGGGAGGGTGCCAGGAATGCAGATAACCAAAGTTAATACAAGATAAACTCACGTTTGTTCCCAGCAGCTGCCACACTCAGCATGCATCTCTTTTAAACTCTCATTCCCAGCTGTGGCTAATGAAGGGAATCAGGGCCCTTTCCTCCCCCGTAAGCCACGCAACCCACGTTGCTCCCTTTTCCGTTCCTCCCTGCGTGCCCTAGAATGAAGAGGGGGTGGGCCTGGGTCTTGGTCTGAACTCCCTCTCCCTTCTTCTACCTCTCCCCTGCTCTGCCCAGCTGGACTTTGCCCTTCCCCAGTTTCCTCCACAGCCAATGAAGCCACACTCCCGCTCCTTGTCAGCTGTTCATCTTCCTCCTCGGATTCAGACTTCGACAGGGGCATGACAGGACCTTGGAGAACTTCTAGTCTTCTAGAATCAGCTTAATTTACGGTAATGAAAGGCTGATATTCTCAAAGTGCCCTATTTCGGCATCAGAAAGTTCATAAGATAGGCAAAAATGACCCTTAACAAATGTCTCACTTAACAACAGAAATGTTGGGCTGAATCGTGATCGTAAGTCGAGGATGACCTGTACAATCTAAGCAATAAACTCCACAAATAAATACATTTTCTCTGCTTCCCATCTCTTTCAATTGGTTCTCTTTATTTTTCAGCCTTTATAGACGTCAGAAAGTAGAGTTTCTCAAATCAAGGGTGCTCCGTCACTGGATTTTCAAAAGAAGATTGGACAATCCTTTGTCCTGAATTTATTTATTTACTAGCGTGCTTCGCTACGAAACTATGCGATCGGGCTTAGTTTTGGGGAGGAAAATAAAGGGGAAAAATTCTGCCTCTGCCTACCGGCATCCATCAGTATTCATCTGGCTAGCATACTGTCAGTGTGTGAGAGAGTTGAGGGCTGTTTGGAAAATGAAAGGGTATTTTTTGTGTGAGCAAGAAGGAGACAGCAACTGTTCTGGACTAAAGCTGCTTGGTGCTGTGAACCTGAACCTGAAACTTGTCTTTTGCATTTGGAAGATATTTTTTTTTCAGGTGGGGAGGGGGAGTAGAACTCCTTAGCATCAGAGCGTGTTAATAATAATAATAATATAGGAAATACTAATGTTCTGATGGTCATTTCAAAAAATTCTTTCTTAGTGAGCCCCTAGAAGCCAAAAGGTAACATATGCGCCAAATTTCAAGTTTGTAGGCTTTACGGTTCCGGAGATTTTGTGATGATGCGTGAGTGGGATTTCGCTTTTATATAGATAAGATTTAAGAAAATTTACACGGCCGCCCAGCTCGCTCTTAGTGACTTCATGAATGGTATAAGGACTTGGGTTGGGGGTTGGACTAGAAGACCTCCGAAGTCCTTTCCAGACTTACAGTTCTATGATTCTGGAGTGGAGGATAGTGAAAACTTTGTCTCTTACCTTTGTTCAGTTTCTTCACACAGCTCTGAATCTTATCCATATAAAGCAGATAATGTTTCGGGGTGTATTGGAGAGGTCCCAGGCCTGGGAGGATCTCCATCACTTCATCGGCCATGAATGCAGCAAATTCCGGGGCTCCAGCAGCGAGAATGGCTAAAACGGAAACGAAAACACGGGGCTATGGAAGAAATAATTGGGGGGGGTGGGGAGTGACAGGGTGTGAAGCCTCCCTGCCCAGAAGGAGGCAGGCTCATCCCTGCCTGATACTTCTACTTTTTTTTACTAATTAGATTTTGAATCTGTTTATTGTTTGGATTGCTTCGATCCTGCCTTTCCGCCTTGCATCAGGGTGGAAATAAACGGACTCGGAGGATAATGACCAGGAGGAAATCACGATGGATCAACAGGAATTAGAAAACAGCCATCATAGAACATGAAAAACATAATTACGGAGTGACAGAATGTCAGAGGTGGAAAGGACTTGGGGGGTCACCAACCTTTTGGACCTCAGGGACCACCAAACTCATAATTTAAATCCCGTGGACCACTAATATGGATTTTGACAGATGGTGGCTGCAGGAAAAAAAAAGTCTGCAGAAAAATTCCCCACCCCGTCTTCGATCATTCTTTATTTGGTATCGCAGGATACCGTCTCCAGCTCCGTTCTCGGGGAGTGGGGAGTGGGGAAGAGACTTTTGGCTTCATGCAAGGAAAGCAGCAGAAGCAGCAGAAGTCTTTCTTTCTCTCCCCCAAACTTCACCAGAAATGAGTCTTTGCCCGTGCAGCCTCTTGTAGAAAGATGCCTTGCAGGGTCCCAAAGACTCATTTCTGGCGGAGTTTGGGGGAGAGAAAGAAAGACTTTTGCTGCTTTCCTTGCATGCAGCCAAAAACAGAAGAAGAAAGAAGCAGAAAGAAGCAGCCTGGTGGCCAGGCCAGGCACGTGGGGCACGTGGAGCAAGTTCCCCCTCTCCACCCTTTCTCCCCTCCCCTCACTACCTCGTGTTGTTCGTAATGCAAGCAACGCAAACCTTGTGTTCCCGCGGGCCATGTGGGGAGCTCAGCCTTGTGTTCCCTGCACAGCCTGGATTAATTGGTTTGGGGGTAACATTTCTCTGCGGACCACCAAAATTTTCTCATGAACCACCAGTGGTCCCCGGCCCACTGGTTGGTGACCCCTGTTCTAGTCCAAACTTCCTAACAGTGAGAACAATTAACCAGTGGAACAGCTGGCCTCCAGAAGTTGTAGGTGCCTCCAACACTGGAGGTTTTTAAGAAGAGACTGGACAGCCACTTGTCTGAAATGGTATAGGCTCTCCTTCTTGAGTAGGGGTTAGACTAGAAGACCTCCAAGGTCCCTTCCAAATCTTGTTATTCTGTAAGTTATGGATTTAGAAAGAGAAAAAGAAATAGTCCAATCTCTTCTTAAAATATTACTACCCATACTACCACCTCTTACAATACTAGACAACACAGTATCAACAGTAGAGACCTTCAAATTTCCAGGTTCTATCTTATCACAAGACCTAAAATGGACACCTAACATCAAAAACGTCATCAAAAAAGCACAACAAAGAATGTTCTTACTGCGCTAACTCAGAAAGCTCAAACTGCCCAAGGAGCTGCTGATCCAGTTCTACAGAGGAATTATTGAGTCTATCATCTGCACCTCTATAACTGTCTGGTTTGGTTGTGCAACACAACAAGACAGACACGGACTTCAGAGGATAATTAGGACTGCAGAAAAAACAATTTCTACCAACCTGCCTTCGATAGAGGACCTGTATACTGCACGAGTCAAAAAGAGGGCTGTGAAAATATCTACAGACCCCTCACATCCCGGAGATAAACTGTTTCAACTCCTTCCCTCAAAACAACGCTATAGAGCCCTGCACACCAGAACAACTAGACACAAGAACAGTTTTTTCCCAAATGCCATCCCTCTGCTAAACAAATAATTCCCTCAGCACTGTCCAACTATTTACAAAGTCTGCACTACTATCACTGTTAATCTTCTCATCACTCCTTATCACCCATCCCCTCCCACTTGTGACTATATGACTGTAACTTTGTCGCTTGTATCCTTACGATTTATATTGACTGTTTCCTAGTATGATTTGATTGCTTATTGTACCCTGTGACTATTATTAAGTGTTGTACCTGATGATTCTTGAGTCTTGATGAATGTATCTTTTATGTACACTGCGAGCATTTGCACCAAGACAAATTCCTCTGTGTTCAATAACACTTAGCCAATAAAGAATTCTCTTCTCTTCTCTATTCTATTTTCTACTGTATTGTATTCTATTGTATTGTATTCTATTTTCTATTCTCCTCTCCTCGATTCTAAAAACCTCCAGTGTTGGAGCATTTACAACTCCTGGAGGAGGCAAGCTGTTCCACTGATTAATTGTAACCTGCCATTAATTTGTAATCTTGCCATTTTTGTACCTGAAGCTGTGGCTGGCCCGATGCCCTTCAGTTCATTCAACTCCTTCACGGCCGCTTCTACATCTGGGAGTCGATGGAAAGCTTTTCTGGTATGTTCCTCCACCATCTTGCTCGGATTAGCAGCCAACAGCTGCTGCAAACGAGGCCGAAATTTTCCTCTCTGGAAAGGCCAAAAGCAGAAATGATCCGCTTTGGAATACGAGCTGCAAATCTTTAGCGTGATTTCATTATGTCAACTGTCTATTTTGGCCATCATGTGTCTTTCCTCGGTGCGAGGCTTAAACCTTCTGTGTCTCTTCTTCAGATTTCATGTTTCTACATCTCAATGCTGGCTATTCCCTTTGCCCTTCTTGGAACTCACATAATTTGGGCTGTTTCCTTTTTTTTCCAAAAGTGGTGCCCAGAATGGGGCACAGGACTTGGTCCAAAACCTATCCAGCTCAAAAAAAAAAAAAAAAAGATATTTATCTGGCATGTTTGGCAATGTGAGGAATAACGATTCCAAATAGCCAAATTTTAGACACCCTGAACAGGAAGTCATCTTTGTGGATTCTAACACGCTATACGCTAAAATGTCTCGAGCTAATTTGGCTTCAGAATGATTGAGGAAAACAGCAAAGGAATGGGATGTTTACCTTCCAGAGTTATTCCACAAAGTTCCTGAATGACACAGGAACCTGCCAGTCTCTTTCAGCCCAACCTACCTTAAAGGGTTGTTGTAAGGAAAAACAGGAGAACAGAACACCGTGGATGCTTGCTAAATGAAAGCTTTCAAACCTATTAAGAAGATACTAATATGCCGATAGCATCTTCACTACATCCATTAAAGGAGGATATTTGTAGCTCAGGGTTGTAGCTCTCTCTAGCTTGTTTTCTTGCAGATGTTTCGTTACCCAAACTAGGTAACTGTTGTGGTTCGCTGGTGGCCTGTGCAGACGGCAGTGGAATCGGACAGTGGGGAAGAAAGGGGACCAGTCAGGGAGTCTGGGGAGGACTCGGACGAGGGTCTTGTGTCCGATGCAGAGATGGGGCCGGGACCATGTGGGAGTGTGGTACTGCCTTTGGAGCCTCTGGAGTCTGGCAGCAGCGAGGAAGAGGAACAAGGGGAGCCTGTTCCCAGTGTACGTGTGCACAGAGCTGCTAGAAGGCAAGAGCAGCTGAGACAAAAGGGGCGACTCGGGAGTAAGGCTTGGAGGTGATTGCCCCTCCCATAAGAGATAAAAGTCAGGCCAAGATGATGAAACCTTTGCAGGAAGCAAAGTCGTTCACTCTGTTCGGATTAAACCTTGAAGCTCTGTGTGGACTTTGTACTCCATTTGGCTTTTTAGGGTTAATTTGGCACTTTAGTTGTTGGCAGCAATTCAAAGGAGAGAAAGGTGGGTGCTTATCTCGAGGGACTGTTGGAAACTCATTACAGGCTGGGAATGAACATAATTCCCAGCGTTGAAATAAAACAAGACTTGTTTTAATTACGGTCTTAGGAAGCCTTAGTCAGAATAGTAAAGTCATCAGTGCACCTTGGGTAATGAAATGCCTGCATCAAAACAAGCAAGCTCAAGGGAGCACCAAGGCCCCCTCCTAAACCCATTTTACAGATGGGTTTTAAAGGCTGAGCGTTCACCTGTCGTTGAACTGCAGAAATCTGTTTTAGCGCTTCCGAGAGAAATACCTACGGTAAGCTTCCATTCCATGAGTTTCAACAATTCCTCTTTCGTCAAGTATTTTTCCTCACGCCCAGTAAGAATTTTGGGCAACTCTTCTTGATACCTTAAAAAGAGACAAGAAAAACAAACAGTAAAAACATACAGAGCCCTCCTCATTCTCAAAGGGACATTTTTTAAAGAAGCTTATGGAAATAAGAGGGTGGTGATGCATAAACTGTCTTAAAATGCAGTTAAAATTCTTTTCCTGCCCATGGAAAATTGCCAACTGGGCCCACCAGGGCTGATAACCTTCATTAAACTGCCCAAATTACACATCAGTAATTTACCACTGATCCAAGGCAATTAGTTTCTTCTTCTTGCTTCCCAAAGCCTCAATCACATCCTGGTAAATGTTCAAAACAGCTTCCCAAGAGGATGAATCCTTGCATGCATAAAGTCCCCCTTTCTCTGTCATGATGTAAGGCCTCCTGGAACAGAGAAAAATAAAAATATTAGGTAGCCAAGGGCAGAGTGGTCATCTTCGTTTTTTATGTTCGGTTGTTTAAAACAGTATTTCTTAAGCTTGGCAATTTTAAGATGGGTGGACTAACTCCCAGAATTCCCCAGCCGGCTAAGCTAAGTTGGCTGAAGAATTCTTGGAGTTGAAGTCCACCCATCTTAAAGAATAGAATAGAATAGAATAGAATAGAATAGAATAGAAGAGAAGAGAAGAGAAGAGAAGAGAAGAGAAGAGAAGAGAAGAGAAGAGAAGAGAGAATAGGATAGCATATGGAATGGAAGGGAAGGGAAGGGAGAGGAGAGGAGAATAGGGAATGGAATGGAATAAAATATGGAATGGAATGGAATAAAATATGGAATGGAATGGAATAGAATAGAATAGAATAGAACAGAGAATTAGAATAGAATAGAATAGAATAGAATAGAATAGGAGTAGAATAGAATAGAATAGAATAGAAATCTTTATTGGACAAGTGTGATTGGACACACAAGGAATTTGTCTTGGTGTAAATACTCTCAGTATACATAGAAGAAAAGATACATTCATCAAGAGTCAAGAGTCATCAGGTACAACACTTAATGATAGTCATAGGGTACAATAAGCAATCAAATCATACTAGGAAACAGTCAATAAAAATTGTTAGGATGCAAGCAACGTTACAGTCATAAGTGGGAGGAGATGGGTGAAAGGAAGGATGGGAGGATTAATAGTAATAGTAATGCAGACTTAGTAAATAAATAATAAATAACTTAGTAAAGTTGGCCAAGCTTGAGAAATAATGACTTAGGGTATTATCTAAATTGTGACCCAAAGTGCAAAGCCAAGTCAATCATATCTGGGAGATTCTAAGCAAAACCCTTGTTTATACACACCCTTGTGTTCATGTTTAAGGATTTCAGCCCCAAACTTTGCAAGCAATAAGCCGGACTTAGCTCAATATGGGATCCCTTCCATCATGGGTTGCCTCCTGTCACTCAAGGCTAAACCTCTCAGCTATAATTGTTCAATGTAACTGTGGTCAGATATAGTAGCCAAATGTGCTGTGATGTGCAGACAAGACAACATGCAGCTTTGCCCACTTTGTGGGTTATTTATTTTGGGGTTTTTGGTACTTTTGAGTCGGTACAAATTCCTGCAGTTTCCTTGGCAATGTTTCTTGGAAATGGTGGCCCTTGGCTGCTTCCTAATGGCTGAGACAGAGTGGGTGGCCCAAAGTCTCTGGCTTGAATGCCCAAGGCAGGACTGGAACTCACAGCCTCCCCATTTTTAGCCTGATGTCTTAGCCATCACATCAAATTAGCCCTCATTAAGAATAATAAAAGTCCCTGTAGTTTTCTTGACACGGTTTTTGGGAAGTGGTTTCCCATTGTCTCTTTCCAAGAGCTGAGAGAGGGACTGACCAATGATCACCCCACTGGCTTTGTGCCCAAGGCAGCACTAGAACTCACCGCCTCCCAGTGTCTAACCTGGTAGACACCAAAGTTGCTTTTAATTTTGGTTTAACTCGCAGTTTCATTCATCAACTGAAATCCAATGTATCTAAGCAGAACGTGCAACCTCCCCCTTTGGTGAGATCGATCAAAACTCAACAGAATGACAGAGTTGGAAGGGACCTTGAAGGTCTTCTAGTCCAGCCCCTTGCTCAAGCAGGAGACCCTATTCCAGACAAGGGGCTGTCCAGTCTCTTCTTAAAACCCTCCCGCGATGGAGCATTAGGATCCAACCTGCCCTTTAACCAACCAACCGAGGCTTAGTATGGAAACAGCCCAGCCACACACACACACACACACCCGCCCCTCCATCCCCCAAGCCAAGGCCCATCAACCACGGTTAGGCTCCACAAGCCAGGGGTTGCTCCCTCGAGCAGGTCCACCGAAGATCCGCTTCATCCTTTTGGAGTCGGGGCGCTTCGCCGCCCGGGCACAACGGAGGCAAACCTTGCGGGACTCCCGCTCCTTGCCCGGCGGCGCCCCCCACTCCCCGCGCCCGACCGTTAAGCCAACCGACCGTGCGCAACCAGA